ATTATAGAGGTTGTGGAAGACTTGGAAAGGGGTAGAAGGTGAGAATGAGGCATGAAAATGGTGTAGATGCAAGAAGCATGCAAGGAAATTATAAAAAATACTTCTAAAAGTTTTAAAAGGGAGGGAAACAAGAGAAAGCTAGTGAGAGTGAGAGAACAAAAAACAGCTGCCATGAGAGTGATCATGGAGGGAATCGAAGTAGCCTCTTCTGTGAGCACTCTCCAGTTCTGGGCATCATCATCAAGCAGACTTCCCCCAATTCCTCGAACATCAGAAAGTTACAGAGGAAAGTTTCACATCATTTATTCAGTTCAGTGTAGTGTAAATGACAAGGAACATGGAGGAGCCAAGTATTGTAAACTGAGAGTATACGGGTCACAGCACAGACAGCTCCTACACTCCTAGAAGGAGCTGCAAGAGATGTGGTTTGATTAAAGCTATGGGGACATGACCTAAAGCTGCAGATTTGTGTCCTAACACAAAGTGGTGGAGATAATGCCTCAACAGTGAATGGGAAACTCAGAGTATGGCAGGAGTCTTCTATGATAGCAGCTTGAGAGGTGACTAAGTATTTGTTCTTACAGCCTAAAGGGAGAGGATGGAGAGTTACAAATGTTTGACAGATGGAAGGCCTTGGGGAAATGGAAACAGTAAGGGGAGGAGGAACCAGATTGTTTTATTGTCAAAGTTTATCATCTTTGGCAATTATTTTCTGAAAACTGTTGTTCTCAACTATGACATGATTTCCCTATAAATGAAAATCAGATCATGGTGGGCCACCAAAATTGCTCAGTGGGTAAAGGTACAAACTACCAAGGTGAAAATACTGAGTTCAATCCCCAGCTTCAACTTGGTGGATGGGGAGAACCAATTCACTCACATATTGTACTTTTATTATATGTAAAGTAGAATTTTTGTACCCAAGCACTGATGTACGCATGAATAAAGATGCACATATTCTCTCACTCTCTCACAAACATACATAAATACATAGGTAACTGCAAATAAAAGTTATGTTCTAATATAATCCTATTTTATTATCAACCAAAATGATAATCCTTTCAAAGTCAGTGCCCTTGTATAATCATTCATTCATTAATTCATTCATTCATCCACAGATGGCTCTGCTTTTTTGAGGTACTGAAGCATCCCAAAACAACAAAAATGTTCTCTCCTTTAAAAGCCCTAGGTGAAATGGACTGGAAGGCAGAAAGTTATTTAGAAGGTGAATTCAGGGTTTGACTAAATCTAAAAGGGAACAAAGACGAGAATGAGAAATGGAGGGTTGAAAGATAATCCAGTGTTTAATAGCACTTGTTGCTGGTCTTCCAGAGGACCTGAGTTCAGTCCCTCCACCTCCTATGTGAAGAGTAATCACAACCTCTCTTAACTCTAACCCCAGGGATTCCACACAATCCCTGGGTACCCAATAGTCAATTGGGCATTTTCTACTCAGTCTCAGCATAAACATCCAAGCTGCACTGGTGTCCTGGCCATTAGTCAATAGTCAATTGGCTTATAAGACTTCACAAGATGGTCATGGTCTCTAAGTGGAGGGACAGAGAACATAGGTTCCCTTGATGATTGCATGTGCTTAGAGTCTTGTGAATTTTCTCCTTCAGGCAAGCAGTAACAGATGTTGCTCATCCATACAGCTGGTCTTTCCAAGTATTAGGACCATGTTTATATGTGAGGCTACGTTATCACCATGTCAACATTCATTAACCATATGTACTATCATTGGGAAACTGAGACACAGAAAACTCATTGTGTAGATCTGCCTCACATGAGCCATAGGTTACAGACAAGCTCTCTGCATATAACATGTGTGCAGTGTCTTCACCCTGGAGACATTTTCAGGTTTCTGTGGAGGAAGACGTGCTGTGTTTCAGAGGTGTTAATCTCAGGAATCAGCATCTTGAGCAAATGTGTGCTCCATGTGTCACAAACAAATGGACAACTACATATGACTTAACTACCTCCCTCAGGAGATTTTTTGCAAAATTCCATGACTGCAGCCTACCTGATGGACAGGAAATCATGTGTTTTCTGGAATGTTATTGCTACTACTACAGAAAGGCAGATAGAAAGACTTTGCTTTATTCCTTCCAATGGATCCTGCATCTAACTTAGGACTCTCTATGCATATGAAGTCACTATTTCAGGCAATTTTACACCTGTCTTTCATCAAACACCCTTGTACTCCTTACAGAAGTAACCCTTTCAGGGACTGGCCTTAGGTAAAGAACAATGGTCTCATATGGAAAATGTTAAAGTTCAAAATCACTAATGTAGTTCTGCCAAACATACCTCTACCTTCTACCAGTAATATTTGCCTGTGTAAACATCCATCTGGGAGTGCTGGAGAGATGATTCAGTGGTTTAAAACAATGACTGTACTTTTAGAGGACTGGCGTTCTGTTCCCAGGACACCCATGACAGCTCATAAGCAAATGATCATTGGATAATTTTCAGGAGATCCAATGGCTCCTTCTTGTTTTGGTGGGTGATGGAGATGGGGAACATCTCAGAACTGACTCCATCCATACATGTACACTGCACAGTGTATAATGAGACTGTGTTTTGTGTTATGCTGAAAATGAATCAGGAATTGTTCATGCTACATGAGTACTCTTCTACTAATTTGCACTCCAGCCCTGGGTCGACCTGTTCAACTAAGGCTATACCAGAGATATGATAGCCTTTTATAGACCAGGACTGGTAGCAGACAAGAATGCCTGACAAAATTTGGGAGCATGGGGGCAATGTGTAGAAGGAAGGGTAGAAGAGGATGGCTAAGGGGAACTTGAGGGAATGGGATAGTTGGGATGCTGGAAAGACAAATATGAGAGCAAGGAAAGAGATATCCTGATTGGGGGCTCCTTTGCAGGGTTAACAAAAAACCTGGCTCAAGAAAAATGCCCAGAAAACCACAAGGATAACCCAAGCTAAGACCCTAAACAATAGAGGAGAGGGTTCTGAACTGGTCTTGTCCTGTAGTCAGACTGATGGTTATCTCAAATATCACCATAGAACCTTCATCCAACAACAGATGGAAACAGAGGCAAAGTCCCACATCAGAGCACTGGACCAAGCTCCCAAGATCCAGTTGAAGAGTGGAAGGAGTGAGAGTATGAGTAATGAAGCCAAGACCATGAGGGGTTCACCCACTGAAACAGTTTACCTGACTGTTGTTTAGCTAACCAACTCCAAGTGGACTGGGAGTGAATGGGCACGGGAACAAACTACTCTCTTACTGCTCTTAGGTGAACCTGGACTAGTATTTGAATTTGTACGATGCAATCCTCCTAAGAGAGAGGAACTTCCCAGGCAAAGAGTTTACTTAAGGTCAAGTACATATTTCTGTTCCTAACTCATGTTTTCAAGTTTCCTCCATTTCTTTTCATGATCATCATGACACAGAGGATAACCCAAAGCTCCTGTAGTCCAGTCAAAGAGAGGGAGGAGGGATTATATGAGCAAGAAGATTGAATATCATAATGGGGAAACCCACAGAGATGGCTTACCTGAACTAGTGGGAGTTCATGATCTCTGGACTGACCACTGGGGAGACTGCGTGAGAATGAAGTAGACTCTCTGACTGTAGATGACAGTTTTGTGACTTGGTCTTCTTGAGGGACCAGGATTTATTCCTGGTGCATGAACTGTCTATTGTAGCCCATTCTCTATGGTAGAATACGTTGCTCAGCCTTGATTTAGGAGGGAGGGACTTAGTCATGCCTAATTCAATATGTAAGAATAGTTAACTTCTCATGGGAGGGTTTACCCTCTCTGCAAAGTGGATGAGGAATGGGGGGATGTAGGGAGGATGACAAGAGGTGAGAGAGGGGGAACTTTGATATGTAAAATTACTAAGAAAAAAAAAGAAAAGAAAAAGATTAATAATACAAGTGACAGCTCATGCTGGCGATGATGTGGTGCAAAGGGAACACTCCTCTATTGTTGGTGGGAGTACAAACTTGTACAACCATTATAGAAAACAATAAGGCTTATACTCAGATAGCTGGGTATCATTCTACCTCAATATTCATCTCTACCACTCTTGGGACAAATTATAGTCAACCAATGTCTGATTTCACTTAAGATTCACTTCACAAGAAGGAACTCATACCTATCACTGCTTGGGTAACCTAGAACAAGAGACTGGATAGCCAAAAGGTGTAGGATAAAAACAAGTAAGACTGCTAAAATTAAAAAATAAAAAATCATAAAATAGTTCCTAATGATACTCTGCTGTCCTCAAAGATCATTTTAAAATCCAGCCATCATCAATGAGGCTTTTCTCTGGCAGCACATGAAAACAGAACAAATGCAGAAATCCCAGACAGACATTATGCAGAGAGAAACCAGTTATGTCCACAGTGAAGCATTGACAAATTCTTCTTTTGTCACTCATCCTCACTGAATGGATTGCTTGTGGCCATGCAGCATCAATGTTAGGTGAATTAGTTAAACATAAAATGTATCTGAGCACATGAGAAAAAAAACATTTATTTCTATGCAAACACTGCCCCATTTTTACAGCAGATTCAGAGCATCAAAAAGGTTGAGGGTTCCTGATATGATTTCCCAGGTATTCTGAGGGTTGGCTATATATTTGATACACAACATAAGCTCTTAATGACTTTACATTTTTGTTTACTTTATTTATGTCCTTATTTTCCTTTAGAGACAGAGTCTCACTTTAAATCTTTGCCTGCCCTTATAGATATATGTATCCCAAGAGTAGAGGCATGAGTGAACTTTCTGGCTGTACCTGACTGAGAGTAAACTGATCATTTTCATCACAAAGTTTTTTTCCTTGTTGTAACCCATTGATAAATTAATGCCCTCATTTACTGTGGGAGGAGAGGGAAGGTCATTTATTCCTCACAGATAGGGTGACTGGGAGACTTGTCTTCGAACTGACTGGGTTGGAGACCTCACACTGATACTCTCCAGCATCCTCCCTCCTGACAGGATCTATGCTGAGTTCACACTTGGTTGGGGACAGTGACATCCTCTCTGTCAGCTGAAGACTCTGATTATTGAAGATCCAACGGATGAATATCCCTGTGTCAGTTGAGAGGCAGGTAAGGATCACAGAGCTCTCTACTGTAACTGTGGTGTTGGTGACTCGAATGAAGGGCTGTGTCACGGGCTCTGAAAAGAAACAGAGGAGACCAAATGATAGCATCCGTTCAGAGAGCTCAATCACCTCTATAATTCATGCTTAATAAATCCTCCAGGATAGATAAGTTAGTTCTGTGATTATATACATAACTTGTGCTTTTGATCTATCACACATGGTCTGTGTGACCCTGATTCAGTCACTGTTTTCCCTGAGTCTCAATTTTCCTATATCATGACAAATTGTAAATGATCACTGTTGTATCTAAGAGTTAAGCTTAGTTATGAGCAGTGCCCTGATCTTGGGATGTAGGAGCTGCTCAAATCAGCAGCATCTGTAACTGTTTACATGTAGAAGAGAATTCCCTAGGTTGGGCTCCGGACATTGTCTGAAGTAGCAAGTTCCTCCGTTTCTGCCATGAGACCACTGATCTTCCTTTAAGTTTCCTAAGCCTGGAAGAAAAATAGGCTATGACCTAGGCACCTGTCTACTGAAACCCAGGAGAAAGAGATGCTCAGATGTTCTACCTAACTGCACCTGTCATGGCAGTGCACAGCGTGTTGCACACTCTATGGGACTTGGAAAGTCAGTAAAGCCTTGTTCTCTGTCAGTTCTAACATGAAGTGAAAACCAAGCACTGTTAACCTGGAGTCAATCCTGGGAGAGAGTTCTGGAGTCGGGGCTTTCTAGTGCTCTCTGTTAGAACCCCATGGATTCCTCAGCCAGGGTCTGACTGAAAACCATAGAGTTTCTTTTGGGACTGTATTCATAACCACAAGAGCCTGTGGCGAGGCTGACATCCTTGTGCTGAGTTATCCAGCACACATTCTCCTCTGTGCAGGTGAAGACTGGTGAAGGATTCTACTCTACTGCAGTTTGTCTAGCACATGTGTGTCACACAGTAAGGGATCCAAACTCCACTGTGGGGACCCAATGCAATGGGGAGCAAACAAGCATAACTCAATATTGATAGTCCAGTGTATGAAGTAGCATAAGCCACACCCAGCAGGTGGAAAAATTACTTACTGCTCACATGAAGTTTAACATCTACTTTTTCAATTTTGAAATCTCTACTTAAAATTTCTAGTGTGTACAATCCTGCATCTTTCTCAGTGACATCCTGGAGCATCAGGGATCCATTGGTGTACACCATCTCTCTTCTGCTGTGTTCGCTCCCCCAGGTGGTGGAATTCATGGCTCTGCTGTATTCTACAACTTTAAGGACCTGGGTCCTAGACATCGATTTGTACCAGGTAAAGGCTTGCATTTCTTCCGGAAGATTATGAACTTGGAGAAGAATGCTTTCCCCTTCAGCAGCATACCGAGGTATTGTTTGGATCATGAGTTGGGAAGAGGTGAGAGGGTTACAGCAAGGAGAAAGGGAGGCTGTAAGGAGAAAGAGAAAAACCATTACATGAGGATAATTGTGCTTTGTGTAAAGATAATGACCTCCATCTTGAGGAGACTAACTCATCACTCAGCCTAAAGTTGCAAGTGTATAAATGTCTGTTCCACTTAATTAAAGTTAGTAATGTGACCTACTCCATTCCTTCAGTGCCCCTTAAAGTGTCATTTCCTAAGGATGGAAATCTCCCCTCAAGTATCTACATACCTGCTCCCTCACTGTCCTCAGCCAGACACTGAGCACACTGCACACTGGGGTGTTTGAGAGGATGTTTTCCCTGAACTTCCAGGGTTTTTACTATCTGTTTTTAATGTTCATGTTTTTTTTTACTTTGGTTTGTTTTCTTTATGCTTCCATTCAACTCCTAAATTCACCTCCCAGATGTTCTTTCTTCTCTGCTCTGCACACTTCAGGACTGGGACTGAGTGAAAGCCAGGAACAGTCTGATCTTTGGGGTTCATGTCTTCAAAAAGGCTCACATAGTAGGCTAGTTAGTGTAACATGAACTTGACACTATGTAGAACCCTCTTGATAGACAATGTATTAATTGAAAATGCTACTAACAGTTTGGCCTATATATAGGCCTTTTCCTACTGCTGCCCACTCAATCTTCATATATACATTGGGGATTGATGTGGAAGGGTTCAGACCATTGTATGCATCCCCACCCCTGGGCTAGATGTACTGGGTGATATGTAAGAGCGGACTTAGCAAGTCATGTGAAGTAACCAGTAAGCAGCATACCTCCATGATCCCTGCCCCAGTTCCTGGATTTTATTTATGACACTATTAACTTGGGGTTAATAAATATACCAGTTTGATATAGACAGCCAAAAACATTGTTCCCTATCTGTTATGCAAGAAAGTAAGATTTGAGTCCTAGCAAAATGCTCCTCTCTCACAGTAGTCCAGCCTTGAAAGATGAGAGTTCAGCGCTCCCTGTTCTACATTTCCTAAAGAGACTGGGCTAACTCTGACTTCTTAGGCTAAGTTATTTTCTATCAAGGTCTTCCTTGGCATGTGTGGGGTATAGTTAGAAGATACAGTCTGACATATAATCATTTATCTCTAACATGTGTCATGCATTTAGTGCTCAAACACCAACATTGGGACAGAGGGAAGGGAGGTATATGCCAGGCATCATAATTCTGTGTGTCTAAGCCCCACCCTGCACTGAATGATCACAGAGAATTACTTACTGTTCACCTGCAGTTGCACGTGTGCTAATTCTGCTTTCATATCTGTACTTAGAGTTCGTAGGGTATATAATCCAGCATCCTTCCAGGTGACATTGTGGATCAGAAGGGATCCATTGCTGTACACTGTCTCTCGACCATTGTGTGCAGGACCCAGCACACTTGAATTCATGGTTATTATGTGTCTTGCAACCTCAAGATCGTTGGACACAATCATCCCCTTGTACCAGAAAAGGGATCAAATATTCTCTGGGAGATTGTGAATGAGTAGAACACTTCCCCTCTCAGCAATTATGGGGGGCACTGATTCAATAGTGACTTGGGAAGAGGTGGAAAGGGGTCCACAGGTCCAAAGGAAGGCTAGAAGTGAAGAGAGGGAGATCCATAAGTAGTAAGAACTTTGCATTTTGGTGAGATAAAGCCCTATATCCTGAACAGGTGTGCTCATTGCTCCATCTAGCTGTGTAGGTAAGTATCTTATCATCCTAATTTGTATCCCTGCACTTGTATGTTGCTATTTCACTGCTGTCAGATCTCTGCTCAAATTTACAGTAGAATGGTTTTGTCATGACCTCTTCTCTTACAGATCCTACATCTTCACTCTTTGACTCCTCTTGTTATTGTGCTGTGCCTTCTGTGGTTCCAGTCAAGTTATCAAAGCTAATGAGTATCCTTTTGACCCAAGACAACAGCAGCTGACTTTGGAGCTGCTCTCTGCTGTATCCTGTGTCTCTAACCACCAAAAAAGGAAAGTCTGCACTGCAAGTCACACACTAAATGCCAGAATACAAAAATGGGGATGCAATGCAGAGGGAAGGTAGGCACAGGCCACTCTCCTGTGTGTATCCAGTGCAATGAACCCACCCAGCACTGATAGTTCACATAGAATCACTTACAGTATACATGCAGGTATATAGATGTTGTTGATACAATTCCTTTATGCCTATTTAAGGATCGTAGAGTGTAGAATCCTGTGTCCTTCTGGGTGACATTTTGGAGGCTCAGAGATCCATTTCTGTACACAATCTCTCTACCACTGTGTCCAGGCCCCATGATGATTAAATTAGTGGTCAGTGAATAAAGTACAATTCCGAGGTTCATTTTTGTCACCCCTTTATGCCAGACAAAGGCTACAAGATCCTCTGGAAGATTGTGGGCACGAAGAAGGACATCTTCTCCTTCAACAACATGGGGTGGCACTAAATCAACAATGACCTGGACCGTGATAGGCAGATGCCAGCAGGCTAACAGATAGGCTAAAAGGAAAGAGAGAAAAGCAATCAATATTGAACAGGTGACATCATAACTCAGCCTAGGTGTGTGAGTAGGGCTTTCTCTACCCTCCTTTACACATGAGCAGCTTGACCCCCATAACCTCAGAGCCTCTGATTGAAATTCATCCTTAAGGAATTCTCTGATCAGGTGTATGGCTGGTTTTCCATTTACTGTTGCCCCTAATTGGTGTGAGGAAGCCTCTCTGAACTCTACCTCTAGAGAATCCTCACTTTTTAACTTTTATTTCTGTATACTTTGTGGTATCAGTCAAACCCTGATAGCATTTTCTATATATGCTGATGTCAGATTCACTACAATCAGGGCTTTGTGAGGACAGAGATTAGTCTGATCTGTTTGGAGGTTCGGTTCTAGGATAAGACTTAGATACCAGTGGATAAGGGAAAGAAAGAAGGAAACAAGGAAGGAAAGATGGAAGGAAGGACAGAATGTAGGCAGGAAGAAAAAAGGAAGGGATGGTAAAGGGAGGAGTGATGGATGAAGAGAGAAATTGAGTAAGGGGGAAGGGGAAAAGGAGAGAGGGAGAGAAAATCGCTTCTACATGGGTTTATCTACATGGCTCCAGGTTTGGAGGCAACAAGAAAAACCATACTCAAGTGTGATTTAAATGGTTTTACATTTCTTTATGTATTTTATTGTGTACTTGTGAAGGTGTACTTCTCAGTGTGTGTATGTGCACATTCATGCTCTGAAATATTTTAAGGCAGAAAAAGGCCAGCAGGAGTTTGTTTTCTCTACCTACCATGAATGAGCTGAAGACTGAGATCTGATTCTCATGTCTCCATACATTAAGTTGTCTTAGTGGCAGACCCCTGTTTAATTTCCATTTGGAGAGTCATCCTGTTATGGTGATATGGAACACCATGCTTCACAAATGTCAGCCAATGTGATTGACTTTGAATAGGGAGTAGATGAGGCTTTTATCATTTATCCCCTCCTGTCCACAGACAGCTACAAGCAGCTGAGCTTCTCTCCCTCACTGTATTTTTGTCCTATGAATACAGAAATCTTGACTCTTCTCTCAGAATTCCACTCTCTTTAGAGACTACAGGAAAATGCTGATTTCTCAGGGAGCTGGTATCTTACCTGTGATCAGGAACCCCTGCCATGGGGTACGCCACTTACAGAGAAGCACAGAGAACATCTCCATCTCTCTTCTCACTGTGCCTCTCTTCCTCTGACAAGAGCTTCAGTTCCAACCCAACTCCAGCCTCTGCTCTCCTTCCTCCCTCTGATCTGAGCTTCCCTCAGGCAGAAGAACTTCACAGAATCAAGTGGGCTTCAGGTGGTGAGATCTGAGTCTAAGGCACTGCTTTGTTCCATCCACTCTCACTGCTGTCCCACATTCCTCTCAATTGTTCTCTCTTTATATTTCACCTCCAAGAAACACATTAGCAACAATGCTGATAAACATCCCCATGCCCTCAGAGAACGATAGCTCATCCCAGGCCTGACATCTGCTGTGTCACGCTCTTGGGTCTGTGTGAACCAAAGAGTGAGCCTCTATATAGCCTATGTGCCTCTTTGACACAGAGGCCCTGCTGAGTACCCAATGTGCACTGTGTTCTCAGTGCTCTGGGAAGGTGGGATTTACTCCCAGAAGGAAGGTGACAGAGATGTCTCTGAGGGATGGAAAGGGGCCAGCTGAGTGATGACAAGGGATTAAGAGAAATCCTTTTTCAATAATTTCACCAATCAAATTCTTGATCTAGAAAAGAGTTCTGGGAGAACTATGTGAGGAGCTTCATGTCCTCAGTGTTGGGGAAGATGTGACTTGTGTGTCCCTGAAAGGACTGTGGGCTCCCTCTTTCTATAAAGAACTTCAAGCCAACTTTCAGCATTACGTGTTGGCTGAGCTAAGTATTATATTCTCTCCAATATTCCTGAGCCTCCTATGGCCTTTGTCTAGGTAATTCTCCAGTGAAAATCCTGTCTTCCCTTAGAGAGATGCCAGGAGGGATGAAGCTTTAAGGTTGCCCCGCAGAAATGTGATTTCAGATACAAGAAGCATCCAGAAGGTGAGAGTAGGGTCTTGGGAGAGAGCTTTAGGTTAGTATGGACAGAGATGAAAACCAGTCTGCTAGGCAAGGTTAAAGTTCAGGGAAACATTTTCTAAGTGTTGAGCATGTGTCTTGATATCTCTCCCTGAATATCTATGGGAGAACTGAAATTTCATGTGTGGGGCTACAGCATGGATTGTCAACAATTCAAATGATAAGTGACCTGATACCTTCAGCACAAGTGGATGGAGGGCCTGTCATCAAGTTCACTGTGCTCTTCAGTAATTCCATGTAGGGTTTGTCTATAAAGGGCCTCCGATTTTTCCTCCAATGCCATATACTAAAATTGAAACGCTCTGTATCCAGAGAATAGGCACTGTCTGGAGGAGCTTTATGCTCAGAAAATTTCAGTCCTAGGACATTTCTCTTGAGACTCAAAGGAGAAGACACTAACTCAGCAGCTGCAATGAACTTTTTGGTTCATCTCTGGTATCTAAATCCTTCCTTGTCTTTACATATAGGGTGCTGAGGGGATCTGATTTGGGGTACAGAGAACATTGATTCAAGTGGATGTTTTGTCTGCTTCTCCTTATACAAAATTCTAGATTTTTTAACCAAAGATCTTCTGCCTAGGAAGGGTGCTTCCCACAATGGCTTGGGTGCTCCTATATTAATTAAGACAATCCCGCACAGACACGTCCACAGACTGAATGAATAAAGAATTACTCAGGTGAGACTCTGGTTTCCACCCACTTGACTTTGGGCTGTATCAAGATAAAAGTTGATGATAGCTACAATCCTGTTGTAAATGGTTAAGTCCTCCTCCTCCACAGGGAGCTTTCCAAGGAAGTACCCCATTCTCCAAGTGAGTATCCCTCTTTGTTTGCTGTGGTCCTCACATGTGTTGGTGTCCACTGCACCACACAGCTGGATCCTAAGAGACAGCAAACAGCTCAAGAACATCTACCTTGTATATTACTTTTCCTTCTTCCCAGATTCTGAACCCAGGGGCACTCTGATATCTACCACAAACACTGTGAAGAGTAAGTGAAACAGCATCACTAAACATTTGTTTCATCCTGATTCAGGACTGGCCTCCTATCCTTGTTCATCACCTGCCTCTTCTGGCTCCATTGGGATCAGAGCAGAAGCCAATTACCAGATGAGACAAGACAGGATCTGGGAGAATTTGGGGTAAAGAAACATGAACATGGCTCAGAGTTCTGAGTGTTCTTTCTGGATCATAGAAATCGTGTTAGCAAATAGGGGGCAGGAAGGAATGAGTGACAGAAAGAAGCTTCTTCTTGACCTTAAGTAAAGTCTCCTTACCTTGGAATTTCCTCACACCTGGAAGGTGCTCACCCCCTCACATCTCCAGACCTATCAAAAGTCACTTAGGAGAAATCAGAGATTCAAGGAAAGGAGGACAAAGAAGATCTGGAATCTCATAAGAGTATTGAGATTTGTTTCTTCCCCTCAGGACAAGCTGTGAATTAATTTCTATATCTACACAAAAACCAAGTCTTTGTCCCTATTGATGCCAAACACAATGTACTAGACAAGGAAGATACAGGATTAGTAGTTACATTTTAGATAAAGAGACTTTTGTAGGATTACTGGGGTTTCCCATTTCCCATTGATAAGTCAAGAGTTTTATGCGTATTGGTCAGTTGATGTGTGGCATGAGATGTAGAGGTTTGCCCCTAGATGGAAATGACTATCTGAGGGGACATGATTGGAACATTCAAACTATCTGGAGCAAATAATAAAACCACATGTAATGTCAGCATTGGGAAGGGAAAATTTTTGTATAGAGAAGACAATAGTGTGGTGATATTTTTTATACTATAACATATAATGCTTGCATGAAGATCAGAGTGCAGACTAATCCAATAGTTATCCCTAGAGGCCAGGCATTGGTGGCATATATCTTTAATCCCAGCACTTGGGAGACAAAGGCAGATAGATCTCTGTGATTTCAAGACCACCTTGTGCTACATGAGATAAAAGAGAAACAGAGATCACACAAAGGTGATTCCAGCACTTAGTATCACATTTCTTTAATCCCAGCACTAGAGGGGTGGTGACAGGAGTGATGTGGCTGGGCAGAGATAATAATATAAGGCAGGAGGACACAGGATCTCATGCAGTCTGAGGATTTATAGAGATGGATGCAGTCTGAGGCAGTCTAAGGATTTGTAGACACAGGATCACCCCTTTGGTGATCATTGGTAGAAGTAAGAACTCTAGTGACTGGCCACTCTGCTTCTCTGATCCTTTGGCTTTCACTCTCTATCAGCTGACTCTGAGATTTTATTAAGACCAATTAGAATTTATGCTACACAATAGCAACTTTTTGACTTACAGTATAACCTTAGATAAGGAGTTCCCAACCCCAGATTATGGTAGAAGATTTCTTATGTAGCATGCACAATCACCTGATCCATTAAGAGTTAAATGTATAATGTATACCCACTGTGTAATCATGAGTGCACTGAGCTGAGTCTGAGATATCCCCTGTCTCCATCACCCTGAGTCTCTCTAGGCAGAAGTCCTTCCACCCCATTGTACCTCTTGGGCCTTGCTATATGTGCTTGGTCTAGACCAGGGCAACTTGCTCAGCCAAGTCATCTGTGTAATGGGTGAGTGTCACAAATCCAAGAGGTACTGAGTATCCCACCTCCAGACTTCTATATAGAGGCAGTTATAGTCATGAAGCAATAGAAATTACTCCCAGGCAGCATTCAGGTTGAATGGGTGACTTCAGGTGGCAGATAGTCATTGCCAGATTGCATACTAATGGAGTCCTTTGTGAGTTGTGACACTGAATAAGTGAGAGTACAGTAGCCCTCTGCAGGTTCAGCCTATCACCTTTTGCAGACATTGACCATTTTACACCCACAGGTAGCTTGTATTCTTTTTTTTAAATTTTATTAAATTATAAAAGTTTCCATTTCCGCCCCTCCTCCCAACACCCTCCCACTCCCCCCACTCCCTCTCCTCCTCCCTCTCCATCCCTAAGAGCAGTCAAGGTTTCCTGCCCTGTGGGAAGTTCAAGTTCCTCCCGCCTCCCTCCAGGTCCAGGAAGGTGAGTGTCCAGACAGACTGGATCTCCAAAAATCCAGAATATGCAGAGGAAACAAGTCCCAGTGTCATTGTCAATGGCTTTTCAGAAAGACTACGGGCCAGCCACATTCAGAGAATCCGGCCACATTCAGAGAATCTGGTTGGATTGCATCCTCGTTCAGTCCCAGTCCAACTGGCCTTGGTAAACTCTCATTAGATCCGTCCCCTTGTATCAGTGGGTGATCGCATCCCTCACAGTCCTTATTTCCTTTTTCATTTTCTTTGTCCTTCTGCTCCTCATTTGGACCTTGGGGGGTTCAGTACGGTGCCATCATTAACCTCCATGAGGTTAGAATGGCCAGTTTTGGTATTGGCCTCAGGCAGCAGTGCTGTGCATACACTGTACAGAAGATGCCTCCTCTGGAATCACTCATCTTTGCAAAGACCTTTTAGTAATCAGCATTGAACTTTTTAAACCGTATGTCAATACTTTGTAAGTCAGACATTGGAAATAGTACATAAAACATTTCCTAAATCTGTAAGTTACTATTACATGGATGACATTTTGCTATCTGATTTAAACACAGATACTTTTAAAGAAGTAAAGACAGTTTTGCAAAAATTAGGATTACAAATTACTCTTGGAAAAAATACAGAGAGGAGATTCTGTCCATTTCCTAGGTTATAGAATAGGTTTACATAAAATTAGAACTCAAAAGTCAAAAATTAGGAGAAACTGGTTTCAGAGTCTTTTTTTATTATTTTTTCCATTCAAAAATTTACACTTCCTCCCCTCCCATTCCCCTCCTGTTCTCCCACTCCTCCTACCTCTTCTTCCCTCCTTAAGAGAGGGCATGGTATCCTGCCCTGTGACAAGTCCAAGGCCCTCTTCCCTCCATCCAGGCCTAGGAAGGTGTGTATCCAAATAGACTAGGGTTCCCAAAAAACAGTATATGCAGTAGAAACAGATCCTAGTGCCATTATCGATGGCTTCTCATTCTGTCCCCATTGGCAGCCACATTCAGAGTCCGGTTTGATCACATGCTCATTCAGTTCCATACCAGTTGGATTGGGTGAACTCCCATTAGGTTAG